TGTTAAATTAAACAAACTTTAGCAACAGGTAGCTAAAATGCTTCTTATGGTGAAATAAGCTCAGACTTGACACATAACTAGTTAAATTACTTAAATATAATCATGAATTGTTACTGATTGTATTCTAGTTTGGATAAATTTATTCAATAGTTTGGATAAATAATTTAATTCCATCTACAAAATCCCTTCAACATTTTGTGTGTGAAAAGCCAGCTTTTCACCTTGGGTATTAACCAGTCGAGCTTGGGGTTCTCAAACAACACTGGTTCCATTGTGAACTGTGCATTGTGATTGTGCAAACAGAACAAAATGCTTCCTTTAACTTTGTGTATCAAGTACTTGATAAATACTAAATTTTCGTAGATTACATTCTAAATTAGACTCTTCAAATTGTCAAGTACAATGTATAAAATTGCGTTGATGCAAACAGATAGGTGGAGGGCGACAATTTACACAATAATCTTGTAACATCTGCGTACACGGTACACAATATATATTAATTTCCATAGTCGTGAATGTGACTGATAATCCGAGTCTTGAACTTTATCATTCAATTCGTTTCAAATGTATTTAATCCTTCAAATATCCATGTAGTTAGTTTCCAGCAGTCTTGAATTTGTCCATATCATAATTTAAGCAAAAATTTACATGTAAATATCTGATTTCTACCATAATTTAATACCAGTTTATAATAATTGCCACTCTTCGCGCTGGCGCCAGCCATTGTTTATTGTTAACCCGCATTTCCTTCCCACCCGCAACATTCCTTTAGAGCAAAAGAGCCAATCACAATCAACTGCTCAACAGCCTGAACCAGGGCCACTGTGAGGGCCGCCCGAGCTTGGGCCTGGGGACGAGGATGCGCCGGTACACGGTACATCGCAACCTCGTCCCCAGGGTCTTCCTCGTGGTGGCGCGTGAGCTGAGGAAGACCCTGGTAAAATACGATGAAATCTCCAAGATTCTTGGAGATTTTTCGCATGCGCAGTAATGACAACGTTATGTTGCTGACTACAATTAGCGCTGGCGCTTACGATTTTCTTGCTTAAAAATACACATGTTTTGTTGATTCTTTATGTATTTATTCTCAAAGTTTTAACAAATTTTAAGAAAAATACGTCAGATATAAGCTGTGAACACACTTGTACACAACACTGTGCAACATTCGTCATCATATTGTATCAATTTGTCGGAGTATGGTGCTCATATTTGTGACATTGTTTTGTTCGCTTTGGCAACCCTCGTATATATCAGATGCTGCTCGGCTTCAAATGCGACTGAATGAACAATGATAGTGTTGCCTGGAATATGAAATGATATTGACCAATTGTTCTGTATATCAAGGTAGGTACTGTACATTTATACTGAATTTATTTTCACACGAGTTTCAAACTATTTCAGCCTTATAATGAACAGTGAGATCAAATCACTAACGGCCACTAACATACAGCCATACAGAAAGACAGAAAGAATTTTCTCATCAATTCTGATTATCGTTACAAGTAACAGTATAAATGCTTCAAAATTTATTTGTTTTCTACAGTATGTAATGCAGGGCAGCATGCTTTCATTTTGCTTTGGTGGTAGTCACCACTCGCCAAGTCAAATGGGCCATTCCATCTATAAATAGCCCCACTAGTGAGGTCTGGATATCCTATATGGGGATTTTAGAGAGGGGGTTTTACCTTAAATTTCTCTAGATCTGGAGGGTAGCTTAAGAGATTTCCAAAAAATTAGGTGTTTTAGTGATACCCAAAGGGGCAGGAACAATATCCTAAAAGGGTAGAAAGATATCCATGGCGGTTCCAAAATTGCATCCAATGGGGTTCCAAAATGTTTAAGGTAATAGTATTACGAAGAGACCCCTCAATAGGGTGTGGGGGGCTATATTAAATGGAATTGCCCAGTGTGTTGCAACAACTTTTAAAATTTGTATATATGTTTTTAAGGCACAATATGTGATGGAGTTTGATATGATGATCAGCACAACCTGGATGTCTTGACTGAACGAACAACTTATGCGATATACTCCTAGTTCCAATATTTGCTGTATATTATCACCAGCTCAGATGTCAGTTGGATCACTTTGAATGAACATTGGTGTGGCACAATAAAGTGTCTGTATTAGGGTGGAGTCTATAATTAAGGACTGAAGTAAAAGGCACACTTTTGGATATTAATTTGAATCATAGCAACTACATATACTGTAGGTTTCAAATGAGTTTGAACAATGAACAACTGAAAATAAAAATTTATTTAATTTGAAACACTCAAAGGAATTACAACATATTATATGATAGTCATACACCCTTTTCATAAATGGCTGCCGATTAAAAATTCTTTTAAGTAAGAGTTAATTACCGAGAACGAGGTTTCTTAGCGGGATACAACCCGAGGGGCGTGACCCGAAGAAAGCGTCCCGAGGGCCGTAGGCCCGAGGGACGCTTTCTGAGGGCTACGCTCCCGAGGGATGTATCTCGCTAAGAAACCGACGTTCGAGGTAATTAACTCACTTAGTTCAAATTTGTAAGGATTGAAAAACAATTAAATCTACTTTTTTGTCGAAAATACTTGCATTGAATTAAGAGAATAACGATTGTTGCCATGGGGTCCATATGAAAATGAGATTGAAACGTGAACTACCTATGTAGCGACGAACAAAATGCTTCCAGGCAACCGGAATCAGATGAAAATGTAGGCTTATGGAAAGAGAATTTTTGCAAGCAAATGACGAACCATTGGGATTTGCAGTGCTCAAACTAGACAGAGATAAAGAGTCTTGAAAAACGCGTATTGAGCGTATACCGAATATACTGTAGGCACAAGACCCAACACCATCTGGGCAGTTCGATCGTATTTGGAAAGAGTGGGCCGAAGGTAGAAGCGCTATAACGAACAATATGTGTATGGGTTTGTCGAAGCAAAGATTCTAAATTTGTTTTCAATAAGGTTTTATTTGGGTAAGAATCTAAAAGCAAGTGGAGGGAATTTGACATCTCTATAGGGAAAAGGGGGGTTGATGAATAGAATTCAATTGAATTGATGATTAAATATTCACCAGGTTTTATCTAAGTATATAAAACCTGATTTTTGCGGGTTTTATATATATATAACCCGCAAAAATCCGGGTTTTATATAGATAAAACCCGGTGTATATTTAATCGTCAATCCAATTCAATTCTATTTATCAACCCCGCTTTTCCCTGGAGAGATATCAAATCCCTCCCCTTGCTTTCAGATTCTTACCCAAATAAAACCCTATTGAGAACAATAGAAATCCGCACAAATTTGAACTAAGTGCATATAAATTGGCCCAACTAGCCTCGTTTCTGGGTAGAAATTCCTTTGAAATCTTAACATGAGTATGAGGCTAGTTGGGCCAATTTATATGCACATAAAAGAATTTTTAATCGGCAGCCATTTATGAAAAGGGTGTATATGTACATGATTATGGGTGTATTCATTGGTTTTATTAGCTGATATTTATGACCATCCTGGGACAACATTTTATTTTTCCCCAAGAGATTTTACTTGCATGGTAGTAATATAGTAACAGAGAAGTGTGATGGATATGTGCAAGTAATTATCATTAGAAATACAAACATTAAACTGTATAATTTTCACCATTGTAAATGATTGTATTATTAAAGAAACAAAATACAAAAGTCAAACAAGGCTATTTAAAATAATACAGTCATAATACCAGACTGGTTAAAGAACTACTGAATAGAGGCATCATGAAAATATTCTAAGATTACTACCATGGCTCTGTACCAGGGAAAAGTATAATGAGTTTCTTCACCTTGATGAACATTAGAAAACTATAATGCCATCAACTCATTCCCATTTAAAAATTTTCATGTTGGTCAATGTGAAATATAATCTTGAGGCCATGGATGTAAAAAGTTTTTAAAATCCACCATTTCATCTTCGAAAAAAAATCGCTCTTCTATTTTAGCAGTCTTCCTGTTGTAGTTCAACCCCCCCCCCCGAAACCAAATTCTTACTATAAATACGTCACAAACTGTTTATTTTTTCAACCAATTGAATCACATAATTTTTTTAAAAATATGACGAATGAAATAAACTCTGGCATCCCGCATAGGCACATCAAAATTTTCATCAGACCATGAAACGTTTGTACAAATTTTTCATCTTACTTGCAGTCTTGAAAACAAAATTTATATGCGGGTATGTAGAAAAAATATCAGAGTTCAATGTGGTATAATTTTTTATCATGTTTTATTTACATGTACGAAGTATTTTGCGTTTTGCCGAAGTGGTATATTCGTCAGTTGAGATATAGTTGCCAACCTTAGGTATAATCTGTATATATCAACACTGCTTTTCAAATTGAGTGCTTGCGGCGCGCGACAAATGACAAAGGAATGGGGCGAGCTTAATGCAAATTGACATTTGGAAGCATTATTGGTGCATTCTACACGCCGTTTTGGGCTGCCTATGAATAACTGTGAATTTTCGTCTTGAGAACGTGTTTCCTGTTTCTTCTGTAAGTGCTTCCATCTGGACTTTGCACGATATATGACCTTGGTGTGTGTGCTTGACTAGTTACCACAGCTGGATTCCATATTTTCCCTTGCTTTATGCGAACTTGCTCGCCTTGTGATATTGTAGGAAGTTCTTTGGAGCCTCGGTCATAATACAGTTTCTGAAAGGTTTTCTTAGTTATTAACTTCGAACTCGTTGATATCTGGCAACTTCGCAATCTCAAAGTAACGTGAGAAATAGTCCACAACTAATAGATAGTTTGAATTGTTCCAGTAGAACAAATCAGTGGCGACAGTATCTCATGGAATCGTGGGAGTTGGTTGAACAATCATGGGCTCTTTCTGGTTTGATGGTCGATATTCTAGACAGGTAGAACATTTCAAGACCATTTCTTCTATCTGTGAATTCATCCCTGGCCAATACAGAACATCCCGTGCACGTTTCTTGCATTTTTCGGTTCCCATGTGTCCAGCATGAATCTTTTCCAACATTTATGGTCGAAAGAAACTTGGGATGATGATCTTTTCATTCTTCAAAAGAATTCCATCAATCTCTGAGATTTCCTCTCTACAATGGCAATACTCCCTAATTTTGACTGGTGTTTCTCGTTTCGTATCTGGCCACCCGCTCAAAACGGTCTTCTTCAGCTGCCGTAGTGTTTCCTCTTCTTCTGTGGCCATCCTGAGTCTCGCCATCATGTCATCTGTCGCAGGAAGATTGGACATCACCATGTGAATATAGGAAGATATTTCTTTCTCTAACTCTGAATCTGTAGTGGGAAGTGGTGCCCGTGATGTTATATCTTCAAAATCGTTATTTATTTCAACGTCCTAAAACATAAAACCTACACACATGTGCTCACTTCCAAAAAACCCCGGCCCCCTGATGCAACGTTCTATACTTCATGTAACACCAACATAACATCTTCCTCTTTCTCTCACAACAAATAGTTCTAAGTGAATCTGGTAATGTGAACTAAAACCTGTAGTCCATGCTACGATTGATAACACAACTAAGTATACAAACAACTATCAGAGTTATTTACCGTCCATAAAAATCTGGCGGTACGCCTCTGTTTGCTCTTAAAGGATACCTATCTTCAATTATGTCTTGATCATTGTCCTGTCCTGCTTGTGGGGCCGCAATGGTAATATCATCTTCTGACTCAGGATTTGGAACAGTTTCTCCATACGCCCCACTAAATTTCTTAAAATGCGAAACGTTTCTTGTAATCACATGATCACCCATTTGCGCTGTTACTCTGGAATATCGCACATTGATAACTTTGTATGGTTGACGACGAAACATGGTTGTATACTTGTTCTTTCACCAACACTGTATCTCCTTCCTTTATCGTTGACTTTCGTGTACGTCTTCTGGCATCTACATATTGTTTTGACTTAGCCTTTCCTTTCAAAACCCTTTCTGCAGCTGTATTGGCAGGTACCTGAGAGAAAGACGTAACGGTAGATCGAATTACTCGTTTGTAAAGCATCTCGGCTGGCGCCACACCTGTAGACAGGTGAGACGTAGTACGATAATTCATCAAAAATGCGAATAGTTCTCTATGCCAAACTCGACCCTCTGCCCAAGCCGCTCGAATAGCTTTACCCATAGGTTTCATGAAGCCTTCCACTTTCTCATTGGCCTGGGACCATAAAGGTGCTACACGGTGATGGTGAATGCCTTGTGTTGTCAGATAGTCCTTAACTTCCTTGGACTGGAACGGCGACCCATTATCGCTCTTAATTAATTGTGTCTGGCAGTCCGTGTTGGGCAAAAACTTTTTCAAACGCTTGTATTGTATGAAAAGCTGTGGTTTTATTCATAATCTCAACTTCTGGGAATCCGGTTGTTTCATCTAACAGCACCAATAGATGCTCTCCGGTAGGTGCTGGTCCATAGAAATCAACATGAATACATGACCATGGTGCCATTGGAGGTGGGACAACTGCTAGAGATGGAGGGGGTTCAGGATTACCAGATATTTGGCACGTCAAACACTCCTTTACATGTTGCTCTGCTTCTTTATCTAATCTAGGCCACCATACCTTGGTTCTCAAATTTTGTTTGGTCTTGACAATTCCCAAATGTCCGCTGTGTGCCAGGGCTAGAGTTCTATTTCGAATTGATATTGGTATAATCAGTCATAGGCGTACCGGGCGGGGGGGGCGGCAGCCCCCCCAGTTTTTTGGGCAGTCGGGCAATATTCGATCAAAAAAAAAATGTGACAAATTCTGTAAATTTTGTCTAAAATTAAGTCAATTTCTTGGCAAATTTTGTGATTTTTCGAAAATTTTCTGTATGTTCCCAAAAATATTGGTTGTCCGGAAAATTTTTTTGACCCCTAAAATGGTACACACCAAAAAAAATTTTCCGGAAAAAATTTTTTGGTACTAGTCGGGCAAAATCCCGAAAAGTCGGGCAATTTTCTTTCCGCCCCCTAATTTTTTCCTTCCGGTACGCCCATGTAATCAGTCGGTGTCCTCTCAACAGTACATCCCTTACTGATGTTATTTCATGCCGTGCTGCAAAATAAGCTGATATGGATTTGTCTTTCCAGTTGCCAAACTGAAGTGCTCGTCCAACTGACTGCAGTTCTTTATCGTTCTTTGTCGCTTCTTGCACCTCTGACAAGGTAATTGTTCTGGGAATGGCTTGCTCTGTTATAAAGTTAATATATTCTTCGGCAATAGACTGTCCCGAGGGCTCGGAAGTCTGCCAGATTCCCTGTGCCTGGACGATACTTGACCGTGTAGTTAACTGCTGGAGGCGCAATGCCCATCTCTGTATTCGAGCAGATTGTTTGGCCTTTGCTGAGTAAAGGATTTCTAACGCTTGATGATCTAATCTGTATACAGGGTAAACTGACAACCAACTAAATATAAATGAAATTTCTCGCATGCCCACACACATGCCAACGCTTCTCGTTCTGTCTGACAGTACGGTTTTCAACTACTGTTAGTGCTCTACTAGCAAAAGCAATCACTTTCAAAATGCCCTGTTCGTCATGTTGAACCAAAATAGCCCCTAGGTCTACAGGACTAGCATCCACAGCAACACTCTTGATCTGTTAGGGTCATAATAGGCCAACGTACACTGTTCAGATAGCGAAGATTTAACCTAATCAAAGACCTCTTGATGACTAGCGTCCCATTTCCATGGAACCTTTTTGCGATCCAATTTCCGTAGCGGCGCCGTAACGGTAGAGAAATTAGGAATAAACTTCGAACAGTAATTCACGAGTCCTAGAAAGCTACGAAGTTCTTTTACATTGTTTGGCGCAGGGGTATTTTTTATTGCAACAACTTTCTCTTGGTCAGGTCTAATCCCATTCTTACTAAGAATCATGCCATAAAACCATAAACTGTCCACATTGAAAAGGCACTTACTTTTGTTTGCAGTCAATCCGGTGTCTCTTAGTCTCTGCAATAGAGCTTGAAGATTGGCATCATGTTCTTTTTGAGTTCGCCCCCAAACAATTATGTCATCAACAATGTTTTTAACTCCATTCAATCCTTACAATGCATGCTGGATAGCATTTTGAAACACTTCGCTTGCCGAGTTAATTCCGAAAGGAAGTCTTTTCCACTGGAAAAGACCTTTATGAGTCGTAAAAGTTGTTATACCACGCGATTCTTCGTTAAGCACAATTTGATGGTATCCGCTTCTTAAATCTAGGCGATAAAAATGAGCTGCATTGCTCATATCATCTGTTAGTCACTCAATTGTAGGCATAGGGTGGTGTTCTCTCTTAATGGCTTCGTTAACTCTGCGATAGTCCCCACATACACGTATTTCGTCCAGATTTTTCGGCTTAGGCACGATCACTACTCCACTGACCCACTCTGTACTTTTATTAACGACAGGTTCAATCAAATCATTATCCTGCGACTCTTGAAGCCACTTCTCTAACTGAGGACGAAGATTAAAAGGTATTCTACGGTATGTTTTGGCCACAGGTGGCACGCTATCGTCAATGTGCAGTTTTTGTTCAAACCCTTTAAGATGTCCTACACCTTCAAATACATCCGCGTACTCTTTTAAAAGAGTCGAGACTCGACCTGTGTCTGGCGTACTTGTATATACTTTTGTCCTTTTCTCACCATTACTACTTGTCGAGTTACTGGTTGTAGTAGGTATCTGAACATGGATTGTGGTTTGTCGCAAGGCTTTTCTATCCAAATCACGCTCTTGTACTGCTTGCTGAGAAACTGAATTTAGATCAAACTTTAGTCTTAATTGCTGTGCTGTTGTATTACTAAGCAATTTACCATATTGAGATGCTGTAATGTAAATTGTAGCCACTGTCATACAATGTTTTGATTCTACTAATGTCTCCACTTTGCCTAATAGGGGAATAGGGTTATTTTCTCCAAAAGCACGAATCTTTGTGTTGGGTTTTTTTAAGGATATTGGTTCTTTGCTTTGTTTGCTTAAGGTTACAGAACACCTTTGAGTGTTAATTTTGTCTAAAATTATTTTATTGGTTTCCATGAAAGCATTAGATTAGTTCTACTATCTGACCAAGTTTGGACGAAAAATGTTGAAAACTCGCAGAGTTAATAAAATACATTTCGCTTGCAATAAGAAAAACATTGAAAATTTAATATTCAAATTCAATTTTCTCCCGAAGAATTTTACGGCAATTACTGATTTTAAAACGAGTTGTGCTCCTGCGGGTTTTAACGAATTTCTCTCAAATTTTCACAGGACATAGCTAAAGACGTTCGGCTTTGTTCTAATTTTGGATATTTTAATAATAAGGAGCAATTCACACAAACGATTCAGAAATATATTGCAGTCGTCAAAGAAATCGCCATATCAGCGGAATGACGAAATAAAAAAAAATTTCCGAACACTATTTTTTAGAACAACTATTTTACTGTATAAAAATGATATTTTCATAAATATATCTTAAAACCAGCAGGAACATAACTCAAAAGCGTAAAGGTACCGCGACTTAAGATTTTCCTGAATAATTCTTACATTATTTTATTGTTTGTCAATTTTACAACTTTATCATGCAAAAGCATGCACTGGCTAGCATTTGGTGAAAATTTGATGAAATTCGGATTGATTTTGAGCGCGCAGTAGCGATTTAAAATCGCTATTGCGCGCTCATTATCAGTCAGATTTTCATCAAATTTTCACCAAATGTTTTTCAGTGCATGCAAAATATGGTAAAGTTATAAAATTAACAAACAATGAAATAATGTAAGAATTATTGAGGAAAATCTTAAATAGCGGTACCGTTACGCTTTTGAGTTGTGCTCCTGCTGGTTTTAAGTTGTATTTATGAAAATATCATTTTATACAGTGAAATCCAAACTTAGATCCAAACAAGGCTGGTGGACCAGACGGTATTCCGTGTAGATATCGCGATTGTTGAAAGAAGTCGCGAACGAGATCGCTCCCTCTTTGTGCAGATTGTTCAACCTTTCCCTTTCCTTGGGTGTAGTGCCGTCAGAGTGGAAATTCGCCAACATATCCCCTGTCTTCAAGAAAGAGGATCCATCGATAGAATCCAATTACCGTCCTATCTCTCTTCTCTGTGTACTGTCCAAAGTATTGGAACGTTGTGTTTTTAACCACTGCTACTACCACCTCTCACCCCTGTTATACTACCTTCAACATGGGGTTCTTGCGCGGACGATCAACGGTAACGCAACTTTTGGAGGTTTATCACAACATCATAGACACCGTTGCATCGGGAAGGGAAGTAGATATCATTTACTTAGATCTATCTAAAGCCTTCGACAAGGTCCCACATAGTTTACTACTTTTAAAACTGAACAGTTATGGCATCTCAGGATCTCTTCTCTCGTGGTTTAGAAGCTATCGCACGGACAGATTTCAAAGAGTTGTTCTTAATGGTGTTTATTCTGACTGGCTTCCAATAACATCCGGTGTCCCCCAAGGTTCCATACTTGGTCCTCTCCTTTTCCTTGTCTACGTCAACGATCTCCCCAGTTATATCAATTCCCAATCAACCATTTCCCTGTTTGCCGATGACTCCAAACTTTATAAACCCATCAACCTTCCTGACTCAACCCTTCACCTCCAAAACGACCTGAATAACCTTCATAAATGGAGTCTCGACTGGGCGATGAAGTTTAACAAATCTAAGTGCTTGCACTACGGGTCTCGAGAAAAAAGACGAAGATTGTATCTCAGTACTATTTGGACGGTCAACCGCTGGAATGTGTTCCATACGTCAAAGATCTTGGTGTGACTGTATGCAGTGACATGTCCTGGTCAAGACACATAGAAGAAACGGTGGCCAAAGCCAACAGAACACTCGAACTTGTCAAACGAACTTGCAAGGATACCCACGACCAAAGAGTGAGAAAATTACTATTCTGCGCTCTCGTGAGGCCCATTCTAGAATATGCCAGCAGCTTATGTTCACCGTCTTATTGTTAAAGATCAACCTAGCGTCTCGAATACCGATCTCGTAAAAAACTGCACACTAACTGAAGCTACTAATCTAAATAAAGCCAGTAAAACTAAGTCAACAACGGGTAAATTTAATACCAGCACATCTCGATTAGGTAATGGACGTTTTAACCGAATGACACCTAAACGCCCAAAACATTTAACCCCGTGTCCATTCCAGAGGAAAAGAAAATTCTGTAAAAAAGGCAATAATTGTGACTTCCTACATCAGAAACCTCAATTTTATAATAACATCCAACGACCCTCCTATAAGATAATGGACAAAGCTGTCTCCTCACCCAGTTTTCATTACTCCCCTTTTCCTGTGAATCCCTATTATTTCCCTCCATTTCGATCCCCAATATACCACCCCACATCCCAACCTTTTCCATATTCTCCTTCATTGATGTCAGTACAAACAACAGGATATTGAGTACTGATAGACATCCGCGTAATGGTCGTTGTCACCGTGCTCGTACTCATAACCCTTCAAACTGTGTCTGCGTGTCTGTACATAGAACTAACTTAAATTCAGATTCTCATACAAAATTCCTACGTTTCGCCAATGTTAATGCGAGATCTCTTAAAAACAAAACAGCCGAAATCGTTGATCATGTTTTGAGCAACGATATTGATGTGTGTATTGTGACTGAGACCTGGTTAAAAGACGTTGACACTGTTAGCATAGCCGCGCTTTCTCCCCCTGGTTACTCTTTTAAAAACCTTCCAAGACAATCTAACAGAATGGGTGGAGGCACTGGCATTATGTTTAACACCAATTTTAAAGTTACTTTAATTGACGGAGGTGAAAAACGATCTTTTGAATACTCTGAATGGAACTTGGCTTTACTCAACCGTACGATTAAAACATTAGCAGTCTATCGTCCACCTTATTCACAAACTCACCCTGTTTCTTCAAGCGTTTTCTTCGAAGAATTCTCCAACTTACTTGAGAGCATTGTTATGTGCACAGAAGTATTAGTAATCTCTGGTGACTTTAATTTCCATCTCGATGATCCGTCTGATACTGACGAGAAAACATTTACTGATTTATTGGAAACTTTTGGCTTATTACAACATGTTACTGTACCAACTCACTCGTCTGGGCATACCCTGGATCTTCTAATTTCGAGATCGTCCAATGACATTAATATTCATCTAGTCAAGACTATTTTCTTTTTGTCAGATCATTGTTTTGTTGAATGCAACCTCTCTTTTCCTCGCCCGAATCTTGTGACAAAGGAAATTCAGTTTCGTAAGACAAATCATTTGAATCTTCAGGCCTTCAAAGCTGACATCACTGATTCCAAACTGTGTAATGACCCATGCTCCAATCTAGATGATTTGGTGAAACATTATGATAATACGCTATCACATATTTTGGAGAAACATGCCCCTTTACAAAGAAAGATAGTGGTTGTCAGACCAAGAGTACCATGGTTCAGTGAAGAACTTAAACGTATTAAGGCCAAACGCAGAAAACTGGAGAAAGTAAAGCTACGATCAAATTGCCAAAATGATAAAGACGCTTATCGCCAAGCGCGTAACAAGTATGCTACCAGTTTGAAAAATGCTAGACATAAATACTATTCTGATCTTATCGATCAATGCTCGGGAGATTCAAGAAAACTTTTTAAGGTTGTGTCTTCACTTTGCAACACACCTCAAGAAAACTCCTTGCCTCCACATGATGATTCACGTAAACTGGCTGATGAGTTCGGAAAATATTTCTGTCGAAAAATTGAGCTAATTAGAAATGACATTGAAAACGTTGTAGTAGACCCACCATTAGTAGATTATCGTTTACCTGATATCAAATTAGACTCATTTAAGCTCCTGTCAGAAGAAGAAGTCCATAACATAATCATGAAGTCGTCGAATGCAACATGTAACCTTGATCCTGTCCCAACATGGCTGCTGAAATTATGTGCCAGTGAGTTAACACCTGTCATTATATGAAAATGATCAACTTGTCGTTAAGTGAAGGTCACGTC